ATTTTGGCATACAGCTCATGAAAACCCAAAATTCCGGTCTTAAAAAAATAGCATATTTCATCCGACCAATAAAAGAAGTATTTAAAAAAAAAAAAAAAAGTCAACCTTCAAATAATTATGTTCAGTTATGCACTCGATAGTCAATACTTGGTCGGGAATCCTTTTGCAGAAATGACTGCTTCAATGCATTGTGGCATTGAGGCAATCAGCCTGTGGCACTGCTGAGGTGTTATGGAGGCCCAGGATGCTTCGATAGTGGCCTTAAGCTCATCCAGAGTGTTGGGTCTTGCGTCTCTCAACTTTCTCTTCACAATATCCCACAGATTCTCTATGGGGTTCAGGTCAGGAGAGCTGGCAGGCCAATTGAGCACAGTAATACCATGGTCAGTAAACCATTTACCAGTGGTTTTGGCACTGTAAGCAGGTGCCAGGTCGTGCTGAACAATGAAATCTTCATCTCCATAAAGCTTTTCAGCAGATGGAAGCATGAAGTGCTCCAAAATCTCCTGATAGCTAGCTGCATTGACCCTGCCCTTGGTAAAACACAGTGCACCAACACCAGCAGCTGACATGGCACCCCAGACCATCACTGACTGTGGGTACTTGACACTGGATTTCAGGCATTTTGGCATTTCCTTCTCCCCAGTCTTCCTCCAGACTCTGGCACCTTGATTTCCAAATGACATGCAAAACTGAGCAACAGTCCAGTGCTGCTTCTCTGTAGCCCAGGTCAGGCGCTTCTGCCGCTGTTTCTGGTTCAAAAGTGGCTTGACCTGGGGAATGCGGCACCTGTAGCCCATTTCCTGCTTCCGCAGGTCCCCCAAGGTCTGGAATCGGTCCTTCTCCACAATCTTCCTCAGGGTCCGGTCACCTCTTCTCGTTGTGCAGCGTTTTTTGCCACACTTTTTTCCTTCCCACAGACTTCCCACTGCGGTGCCTTGATACAGCACTCTGGGAACAGCCTATTTGTTCAGAAATTTCTTTCTGTCTTACCCTATTGCTTGAGGGTGTCAATGATGGCCTTCTGGACAGCAGTCAGGTCGGCAGTCTTACCCATGATTGCGGTTTTGAGGAATGAAACAGGCTGGGAGTTTTTAAAAGCCTCAGGAATCTTTTGCAGGTGTTTAGAGTTAATTAGTTGATTCAGATGATTAGGTTAATAGCTTGTTTAGAGACCCTTTTCATGATATGCTAATTTTTTGAGACAGGAATTTAGGGTTTTCATGAGCTGTATGCCAAAATCATCAGTATTAAAACAATAAAAGACCTGAAATATTTCAGTTGGTGTGCGCAATGAATCTAAAATATATGAAAGTTTAATTTTTATCATTACATTATGGAAAATAATGAACTTTATCACAATATGCTAATTTTTTGAGAAGGACCTGTATACTATGGCACTGTATTTTTCTTACGTACTGTACACGGTACATGATTTTTTTAGGACATGGTACTATGGTAATATAATGGAACACAACAGTTCAAAAGTTTGGGGCCAGTATGTTTTTTGTTTTGTTTTTTCTAAAGAAATTAATACTTGCATTCAGCATGGACACATTAAATTGATCAACAATGACAGTAAAAACATTTATAATGTTACAAAAGATTTCTATTTCAAATGAATGCTGTTCTTTTGAATTTTCTGTTTATCAAAGAATCCTCTCAAATATAAATCATAGTTTCCACAAAAATATTAAGCACTAAGCGCCACTTTTTTCAAAATTGATAATAATAAGAAATGTTTCTTGAACAGCAAATCAACATATTAGAATGATTTCTGAACGATCATGTGACAAATACTGTGGCTGCTGAAAATTCAGCTTTACCATCATAGGAATAAAGTAATTTTCAAATATATTCAATATATTTTGTACTACTATGGTAGTTTGAAACATTCCATGGAACTGAAATTCATGTTCCATGGTTTTTATATGGTACTGCCAAAAAATACTGTGCTACTACTATGGTAAATGTCCGAAAAACTTCCACTGCTATGGTACTTTTTGAGTGTATGGCATCAAATATGGTGTAACCATGGCACATGATAGTGTCTAAACTGTGGTACCATCTATAGTTATAATGGTAGCATGCTCACTCAGGAAAACATTTTTACCATATCAGACATATGGTGATACCACGTTTTGTAACTAATGATTCTGTATTTTTGTGTTGTGTGTGTTTTGAGCATCGAGTCAAAAATGGAAAAAAACTGTTGTGTTCCTACACGCAGTCATGTACATGTACAAATAAATGAGACCTCCTTTCCTGTCATGACACATCTGTTTTTCACACACCTTCCTCTGAACAATGTCAGTGAGACGATACGTTTCCATCGGCTTGCGGAGGCATTTCTGAGCTCTCCTGTCACGCAGTCTCTCAGTTCTTCAGCTCTCTGACTCAGCTCGCTGTGATGAGGAAGGATCCGTTGACAACCAACAGCATGTGTGTCTGCTACCCAGAAAAAAGACGCACACCCCCATCACACGGAGAAAAGGGAGTTTTAAATGATATATGTCTGCAGCTGAGAATGTGCTGTGGTTGTAATGTCACACAAACTAATAATGGCTCGGAAAAAATATAGAGATGATGTTTTGGCGACATGCACCAGCTGCATCAGTGTGAAGGATGAATCCATCTTTTATAAAGACAACAGATTTGTCTTATTTGAAAAGGCAAAAATCTGAAAAGCCTGACCTGACCTGCAGGAATAAGACAGAGAGATAAACTAGATCATTATCTTTTAATTTGGTTTCATTCTTACTCAGATTGCTTAAGGAAGTTTGATATGCAAAGATTTGGAGACAGATCAGTTTGGAAGGGAAATGTGAACTGCATGCTGAATTAGTATTCTCATCGTAAACTGAATTTTTTTTCCACAAGCCAAAATCAATGTTCTTGGTTTCCCTCCAAATGCATGCTAACTCGCTTCCTGTGAGGCAATGCACAGCTTCACAAATACACAGAAATATTCAAGTACCATGTCTGGTTGTTCCTCCTAAAATAATACCCCAAAATGAAGAAAATCCATCTGGTCTTATTATGATGCAAAATCAGGTTTTGAGGCTGGCAGGGTTAGATCCAGACATCAGGAGCTGTTGCTGGCATTTTCAACTAAAAAAAGTAAAAGTGAGTGGTGTTGCTCGTTCAAAACCCACCACCTCGATGTTAAGGTGTTGTGGGTGGTTGTCAGGATGTGTGCTAAGGCGTTCTGAGTGGTTTTTAGTGCTTTGCTATGTGGTTGCTTGGATTCTCTGGGTGTCTCTATGTTATTGCGGTCAATAACTATGACTCAGGTCTCTACTTCAATGCAAGTTTATGGGATTTTTCATCTACCGGTTGAAAATTGTAAGTTCAATCACATAGAAAAGCAATATCACACCTTAGCAATCCACATTATTTGAAGTGTCATTTAGTTCTGTATAGCAAAAACAAATTACATCAAAGTTTATTACTTCAGCGTTTGCTGATGGATGGATGGATGGATGGAACGATGGATGGATGGATGGATGGATGGATGGATGAATGAATGGATGAATGGATGGATGGATGGATAGATAATGGATGGATGGATGGATAGATAAATAATTGGATAAATGGATGGATGGATGGATTGTCAGATAACAGATAATTGGATAAATGGATGGATGAGATAGATAGATGGATGATGAATAGATAGAATCTTTTCCTGCGAAAAGTAAAAGAAACTGCACTTAGTCTATACATGTGTTTATCATAATCACAGGATAAAAACAAATGTTTAAGCAATCTGAGGACAGTAACAGTGAACCAGAGCAAATTGATGATGTTTCATCTGTGACTCAGTCAGGCATTAAGAGGACTCCACATTTCACAGTAGAGGAAATTTTAATGATAGAGGAGTGGAAATGGATTGCTGAGGTATTACTGTAGATTGAAACCAAGGCCGCTGTTAAAGTCACATTCACACCCTGATGAATAGAGCTGTAGCTAATGTATTTTATATTGTAGCCAATAAGATGATCTAAATGGGAGGCTCAAGCCATAAAAAGTGTAGATCCAAGACTTTGGGGCATAAATACCAGCCAGCCATTTTGTGCGTGTGCATTCACGTGTACTTTTTAAAGCTATTAAAGAGTTTTTGTTCTCTGGTAATAGCTATCTTAAATCACTGAAGTGCTGTAAGAGTCGCAGCGATCTCTGTGGATTAAACATTTAGTTGCCATCTGCACTGAGAGAAAATTAAAATGGTTTCCTCTGGGTCCAAAAAGGAGGTCCATTATTCACATGCACTAATTCCCAGTGTGGGAGGTCATGAATTTTTTATTGTTGTTTAAAATAAATAAATAGCAGAAAAATGTTTGAACAGTTAGGACCTTGCTTTTTAAACGTTTTTTTTTTCCTTTAACTTTTCAAATAAAAGTGTTTAGTGTACTATGAAAATATCTGTGCAGAACATTCAATGTGTATTTATTTATGTAACTGTCACAGTTTTCAATGCTACTGAAGGATGTGTCTGCACTCCAGAGCTCTTCTGAAATTAAATAGCTATTTTGAATTATAACTCTGTTCATTTATTTTTTACTGTTATTCCAATTCACAATAACTTTTTTTAACTTATTGTGGGTGTGGCCAATTCAAATTCCCACTCATGAATGGAGCCGAATTTTTAATTTCAGAATTTTGCCCATCCCTGTATTGCACTACTAATAATATTTTGTGATTATGTCATTTTTAGTATTCTGCTCAGAAAGGAAAGGAGATGTTCAGGGGATTTATACTATTCCAATCAACATCCAAATCAGTAAACTCTAAACTGAAGGAACGCAATGAGCTTTTCTAAGCCTTATCCAGAAGTTTTGGGTGTTTATAAAAAGATTTCACATTAATTTAGCACATTTGTTTTAAGGAGACACACAAAATGAAATGAAATGAAGAAATGAAATGAAATAAAACAGGTATGTCTGAAGTAAAGACACTTGAATGTTATGTCCTTGGTAACAGATTTCTAACTTTCTCCACAGGAATCTTGGGAAGTCAGGACTGCGAGTGTCATGCCTTGGACTTGGTGAGCATTTTTTGATTTATAAACCAGCAGCCATAAACCATAAACACCAAAAGGTCACACTGGCTATACAAGTATCATAGATCTGTGATGCGTTCACACACAATATGTTTCAATGAATTGCAGGCAACAGTATGTGTTTGAATGATCTTAAAAATGTTATCCTCCCTCCATTCATAATTGAAACACAAGCTCACTAATTGCCTCACACTCCACACACAGCGGGAGAGTGATGGGTTGACGCTTAATTTATTCTCTTTTCCCTTTTAGTTTACGATTAGATGTTTTCATTAACAAGACTTGTGAATGGAAACATAATGACTGCATAAATCAGTTTTGAGATAGAAAACACGCAGTGGCTTATATTGCATTTCTAATGCTTCGGGGCTCCAGGAAAACCATGCAGTTTATTCCAATCTGGCCGTTCTATATTTATCACTTCAACAACTAATTCAAGATACACAAGAAAATTACAGCAGTGTCAGTTCTGGTGTGATGTTCTGCTCTTATTTATAAAATGGAAGAATTCGAATGGTGTATTGAAAATGTTATGTTTTGTCTCCAAGAGCAAACTTATTTTTCTCGCATGAAAACCACAGGGCATTGAAAACTAAATTGGTTTGGTGTGGACTGAACTAGGATAAGTGAGCTGGATTTTATTGTTGTCATACTAAAGGCTTTCAGAAAGAGCACTGAGGAACAAACAGCTGCTATTCCACCATAAAAAAGCCCCGGGCTTATCTTCACAATCCATTTCCAAATGGTGTCTCTCTTATCTTAGGTAAGAATCTTCCTCTACGAGTCTTTCCTCCATCCTGCATCCAAATATACACTGCCCTTCAAAAGTTTGGGGTTACTAAGATTTTGAAAAAAGTTCACCAAAGCTGCAAATATTTAATCAATGACACAGTAAAAATAGTAATATTGTGAAATATTATTACATATATATTTTAAAATGTATAATGTATTTCTGTGATCGCAAAGCTGAATTTTCAGCATCATTACTCCAGTCTTCAGTGTCATGATCCTTCAGAAATCGTTCTAATATTCTGATGTGCTGCTCAAGAAATATTTCTGATTATTATCAATGTTAAATTCATCTTTGATGAAAGTAAACAAAAAAGGAATGTTAACTTATCTGTCACTGTCACTGAAACTAAATTTAATGCATCCTTGGTGATAAAAGTATTATTTTTTCTTTTTTTAAATCGTACTGACCCCAAACTTTTGAACGGTAATGTACAGAAAATAATAATAATAATTAAAAAAATAAAATGCCAAGAAAGTTGTTCCTTGTTGTAAAATTGTACTTATTTAACAACATCCAGATGTATTATTAATATATGAATTGTTGACTTTCACTATTATTAGCTAACAGACCAAGTTAACACCAAAATGTTGAACTCTGCTTAAATTTGTTGCATTGAAGTTGCTGTCAGTGTCAGCAGAAATCAACAACTTTTAATGAAAGTGAATAAAATGGATTTGAGTGGCGTTTGGTGTTATTTACATGCACTTTCTGTATTATTTTAGTACCCGATTAACTGAGTATACAAATCAGCAAACAGAGCAAACATGCTCACAAAAGCTATGCCGAATGAAACTTGCAACTTGTTTTGTGAATAAGGCTTAAACTACTAAGAGCTTAATTTCACGCCTGCTTATTCACTGATGGTTAGTGATTGAAATGCAGGTTTTGGTGCTGAAATACTTTGCAAAAGTGCTGCAACTCACCCTTCATTGGTTGTAGCTGCTATTTTCCTGAGACGTCAGAGGTCATTGCTTCAGGTCGGACATCGCAAACATTAGCCACTTGACCAAACGCTGCAAGAGCACTGCAGGCCGATAAGATTTCAGTGCTTCAGACATGCACTTTACTGAATACATGAGGACATGCAGCTTTCAGTGGAAACCACCAAAGCAGCAGTAATTTTTTGTATAGGCTTGTGTGTGCATATGTGCATGTATAAATGTATGTTCATTCATGTGAGTCAGTGGTGTTTGCCTAAAGACTATGATGGAAGCACAACGGTGACTGTTTATTTTTGTACAAATAATCTAAAATAGTAGCTAGTAAATATCACTCTTGGTACACTTCAATATTTTAGTGAAAAAAAGTGTAAAATATAACAGCATATATCAGGTCTTATATTAATTTACTAATGTAAATTAATATAAAGAATCTCAGTCAGATCTAATGCAGTAATATGTGAGGAGATCCGGGATTAGGCGTAAAGATCCTGCATTCCCTTGTTTGTCTCAGTTGATGAGCTGCCGAAGACCCTGGTGCACACCGTTGCTCACAGTAGCTGTACGCATAAAGTTATCTGGCAGGATGAGGACTGTTACGTCATGTACCAAACACAAGAAAGGCGCCAAATGCTTCTTATCGCTGCACAGGTGTCACCAAGGGAACGTGACACTTGCAAACGCCCACACTATTTCCTTATTTATCCTACAACCCATGGGCGCTTGATCGCTATGGGAACAGCTGATCAGCCCCGACGGGTTCCCTCACCCTGAAACACAGTCGGGTGTTTCTTCGAATGCCAACTGATCCCATATATTGAAGCCTAGGACACCAGTGCTTGCTGGAGAGATGCTCATCCCGCAGCGGGGGTGAGTTTTAGGGTGATAGTAGGTGATTCTGACAGGGATGTGGGGCAGGGACTGCAGAGTCTTACCCTGACAGCAATGAATCATGGGTGCTTTAGACTGCCAGCAGTGTGAGTCAGGCCAAGAATAACAGAGGCCTCAGGAAATCCTGGGACAGATTTTCCCAAGAATCAACCTCATTTTTATCTCTTTAGCTATATGCTGAACTAAAGTATTGAAGCATATTTGTTTGTTTTTGATGGTTTCAATTTCCCTATCAAATATTCAATATATATATATATATATATATATATAAAATGAATACTTTGATTTAGAAAGGACGCATTAAATTGATCACAAGTGAAAGAAAATACATTTAAAATGTAACACAAGATTTGCTTTTTAAATAAATACAAAGTTAAGTCATGAAACTCTTGATGGCGAAGGCTGATAGGTCCTTAACTCAATTTGATAGCGATGGCATCATAGACATAGCGCAGCTGATAGGTTGCTGTGGCATCAGTGGCCAATGAGCTGCAGTTCAACATTCAAATACTTGCAGGGTTTGCTGTTAGCAGTCTGCAGCACACTTTCAGAAACCCTCCACCTTCCCCAGCTCCACCTGTGTAGATCCAACGCATTCTCATCGTTTGGCGTCATATAGGACATTTCATCAAAATCTTACGCACATGGCATCCTTTAGCGTCAATATAATGAGGCTGAGTTTCATCGTTTGACTCTGTTTCTAGAGTGTGTGTCCTCCATCAAAGACTGGCTAGCCACAAACTATTTGCAGATAAACTCAAACAAGACTGAAACGCTGATTTTTGCCCCAGACCATAAGATCCCGCTGATCAAACAGCACCTTGGTTTTCTGGGCCTCTCTGTCAAATCCAGCCTCAGAAACCTGGGGGTTGTGTTTGACCAGGCCATGTCTTTGGAGACACACTCTAAACAGCTCGTCCGAAATTGCTTTTATCATCTTAGGAACATCTCTAAAATTCGCAAAATGTTGTCAAAGGAGGATCTGGAAATGATAATTCATGCTTTCATATCCACAAGACTTGACTACTGCAATTCTGTTTTTATCTGTATGAATAAGTCTGCTTTGAACAAATTGCAAATTGTTCAAAATTCTGCTGCTAGACTTTTAACAGCTGCCCCTCGAAGGTCTCATATCACACCAGTCTTATTAGATCTCCATTGGCTCCCTGTAAAATTCAGGATTGATTTTAAGATTTTAGTGCTGACTTTCAGAGCCTTAAATGGTCAGGCCCCACATTACATCCTGGACCTTTTGAAGCCGTATTCCTCTGACCGCACTCTCCGGTCCTCTGGCCAGAACTTGCTTACAGTCCCTAGGACTCGTTTTAAGACCCGAGGGGACATGTCATTTCAGTCTGTTGCTCCCAAACTGTGGAACGCACTACCCCTGTCCATACGTCTGGCAGACACTGTTGTCTCTTTTAAAAAGGCTGTGAAAACATGTTTATTTAGGAAGGCTTTTGGTTGATGGGTTTTCACTAGTGTCACTTTAATTTTACATATGTACATACATTTTATATTGTTTGTTTTAATTATGCTCTTGTACAGCACTTTGTGATTTTATCTGTGAAAAGCGCTTTATAAATAAACTTTACTTGCTTACTTACTATAACACGCACTGTTATGGGTAGGTTTAGGTAGGGTACAGTTATGACGCCTTGGGATCTGCGTCTCATATTGACGCTAAACGATGCCATGTGCGTCGGATTTAGACGAGCGTCACCTGTATGACGCCTTGGGTTCTGCGTCTCATATTGATGCTAAAGGATGCCATGTGCGTAAGATTTCGACGAAATGTACAAAGCGTCACATGTATGACGCCAAAGGATGAGAACAGGCTGGTAGATCCACCATATGGGGGTTATTTCATGTATGTTATAAACAGTATGTGCAGCAGCAGCTTGTCTAACTTGCTCACAGCAGCATGTCTGTGAATGTATTGGCAGTAGCAAGTCTCTTTACTTGCTCTGCAGCAGCAAAAGCGGCAATAACCAACATCAGCTGCAGCATAGCAGATCTATTCCGCCAAGACCACATACATTAACATTGCCAAATCCATTACCATGCCAATCTCTCCGAGTGTTGTCATGACAGAAATGCTCTTTTTAACTTTCTATTCATCAAAAGAAAAATTGTATCATGTTTTCACAAAATATAAGCAACACTGCTGTTTTTAACATTGAAAATGAGTTTATTGAGCACCAAATCAGCATATGATTTCTGAAGGATCATGTGACATTGAAGACTGGAATAATGACTGCTGAATATTTAGCTTTGCCATCACAGGAATAAATGGCATTTAAAAAATTAAAAAATAGAAAATAGTACCTTTAAATTGTAATAATATTTATTGATGTACAAAAAACTGAATGAAAACTGATTTTGTAAGTGTGTTTTAATGTTTCTACTTCCCTGATTTCTTAGGATTATTTATGATATTTTTACATTTTCACAACTGCAAAAGCCTTACAAAGGACTGGAAAAGTAGTCAAAATTCTTGCTATTTAATAAGATGGTTAAAATACGTACATACATTTATCTGATGCTTTTCATCCAGAGAGACTTAAAAGACAAATAAATAAATAGTTTTAAAAAAAGCTTCCCAAAAAAAGAACACCATTATGTCATATTGAATGAAATCATAAGGGAAATGTTGATTTGTTTACATCAATATGGAAGTGAAATGTATAGCCTACATCAAGTCCACTGAACAACAATGAAGTTTAAGGAAATGTCACTGGCCTTGTTTTCCTAAATTCTTCTTTAACTTGTATTATTACTGTAAAACATTCAGATTCAGGTCTGTGTTTCCTTCTAATGTGTTTGAAGGTTTCAGTGACAGGCACCAGACCAAATAAATGAAACTCTGCTTGGAATACATTTACATTTATTTATTTTGCAGACGCTTTTATACAAAGCGACTTACAAATGAGGAATACAGCAAGCGATTCATCATGAAAAGGCAAACAAGAAGAAGAGTAGAGAAGAAGTGCTTAAAATACAAAGTTTCAGACATTGCTTAGAGTAGCATAAACTAGAAAAGGGAGGGATTAAAGGAAAGTGAAAGATAGATTTTTTTTTTTATGATGAGATTAAGTGCTCACGGAAAAGATGCTGAGTTTTCAGCTGTCTTTCGAATGTTGTCAGGGATTCTGCATTGCGGATGAAGGTGGGGAGATCATTCCACCAGCAAGGAACAGTGAATTTGTGAAAGAAACAGTGAGAGTGATTTTGTGCCTCTCTGTGATGGTACCACACGAGCCATCGCTCATTTACCGATCGTAGGCCTCTGGTAGGGATGTGGATGAGCGACGGCATCACAGAGAGGCACAAAATCACTATAATAATAAACTAACTCAATGGATAACTCTGACTCACACTCCCTCCCTCTCTTTCTTTCAATTTCTTTCTTTCTCTCTCTCTCAGGCACATGGGTGACATTCGGGGGGCAGATTTCAGATGAGGTGAGTATTTCAAAATGTTTATATTCATAACCAGAAAGTAAACCTAATTTTTTCAATACATTTTCAACAGAAATTAACACTATTTACTCTTAATTTGTTTGTTTTTTGTTTTTACATAATTTAATAGTATACACATAATACATAATCTGTTTTCACCCATAATTTCCATTTCTAAATCCACTTTAGCCATAAGCACAAATTGGGTAGAGTTAGCCGAGATAAGCATGTTCTGTGTTGACAGTCTTGGCAGAGAGGAAGGCTCGTAGACAAATCATGCTGTGGTCTTCCTCATTATTCAAACAATAACATCATTCTGCCAGTGTCCCTTTCTGACACTCACCCAAGGCAAATGCACATAAATATAGCGGTTCTTGCATAATAAAAGTCCCTGTGGCAACAACTTCCACGACAAGCCTGTCTCTCCCCAGAGGCGGGGTCTCCTCTTTTGTTCAGTCATCCCTCTTGTCCAAACAAATTATGCGAGATGCGAACGTCCCAGTTCGGTCCCCTTCTCCACATGTCATAAGTCATCTCATCAGCAGTTGAACAGACGGTTTTCCCTTATCGGCCTGCTAATATACAACCACGCTGACAGAACGGATCACTGTCACTCATGCTGGCTGACAGCTCTCCATCAAAGACAGCAAGAGAGAGAGAGACTGATGGATTGTAGAGATTGCAGAGGTTTTAACCACCATTTCAACTGTTCTTTCATCAGAAGATCAAACTCTGACATGAAGATCATTGTAGCATTGCAGCAGTTACACAAGAAAAACAGATGCTCTGGTCCAAAACCTATTAAAGGGGCAGTCACACTACACATTTTGTTCCATTGACTTCCATTCATACACATGCAAATGCATCAGACCGGAAACGCAAGCTCATGCAAAAAGTTTAGCATTTCACTTCGTTCCGAAGTTCAAGTTTGGTGTTCAAGTTCAACACTGAACTGCGAATGACCAGTAGAAGATCGATATGTCATTGCATGACCATATAAGAACCCATATTTTTGCAGTAAAGTCGAGTAGATTGTATATTTTTACATTTTGATTGTATTACTATTTGTTATGTTGAATTCATGTTTATAAAAAAAGACCGCTGCAGAGTGTGACGTCGTATCACGGTGTCCATTGAAATTCCTCTAGTTCCTCTAGTTTGCTCAAAGTCTAGTGTGACCGTGGCTTAACTGGCTGTTCACACAGAAACATGTGCTAGGCGGATGTCTTTGACCGTTGCGTTCGCATCTTGCGTGTTGTTCAGCGTCTCATCGACGACGCAGTGTTCTAAAAACTCGGTTCTCAAGTTAAAAGAAGCGCTTAACAAGACTTTGCATTTTTAACATTCCACTGCCCACATCTCACTTTAAAAACAAAACAAAAGGCCTTAAGACACATTTTTTTAGTCTGACTTATTTTAATATAAACACTACGGGCCCTATCATACACCCGGCGCAATGCAGCGCCATGACCGACGCGACGCAAGTCTTTTTAGCTAGTTTCAGCCCAACGCAGTTATCATTTTCACGTTCTGCGCCATGTTGTTAGCAAATGCATTTGCGCCCATCTGTTCGCCCATGTGTGCTGTAAAGATATGGTGGAATCCGGCTTGTCCCGTAGATGGTCTGCTAGCGAGCTTTAACCCTGCGCACAAGTAGATCCGTTTCCTCTCTGGGGAAGCGTTCAGTTTTTCCGCTTGCAAATTCCGCCATGCACATAGCAATCCGCCATGGCGCGAGCACAACTGGCTTTTAAAGGAAATGGAAGATGAGACTCTGATTGGTTTATTGCACGTTACGCCCAAAGCACACTCATTACTCATTAAGAGAATAGGGACAAGTAATGATGACTTGTGTGTCTAATAGCTTGTGCTCTGAAATATTGAAGATAGTTGTGACATTGCAGTGCATTTTAATTTATCACACCCATACATCACGACTGTTACTATTTATAAAATGATGAGCACAATTTTTAAAGGATATATTTACCAAGCATCCATGCATAATAATAATCTTGTGTTAATATGCACATGAATGCCACTCTGTTCATCTGCCTGAAAATCTGTCCGTAAATACATGCATTATTTTTTCAGCATTATGTGACAAACAATGTGAGGTGTACAGAATGAAAACACTGTCAGATGCTGTTAATTCTAGTGCAACAGCCCATATTCCTATATACATAGTGACAAGCAGGCATTAAATGCCAGGATAGAGGCGATTGCTTGGAAGTGAGGGGTTGAAGAATAACAGTGCTCGATGAAATCAGCCGAAGAGGAAAATCGTTCACGGACAGAGCAAGCTATTGCATTTTGATGAAAGATTACAAAGATAAATGGTTTTCTTTAGAATAACATACATTTTGTGATCCTGTTCTGCCCCTCTCTCTCCATTATTGCCTATCCTAACTGCACTGTCCATATGAATAAAAGTGGCAAAGATATTCTAGGTTTAACACAATATGTAAAACAACAACAACAACAACAACAACAACAAAAATCAGCTCAGCCCTGAATTCGGTTAAGTGTGAGGGGCATGAATGTTATAAAAGTGCTTCACATGGCAGTGAGTCATGTGAAGAGGATTTAAGCAATGCAGTTTTCAGAAGGGTGAGCGTTCAATTATCTGTTTCATACACTTCTAAGCTCTCTGCATTGATGATTGAGTGCAGCTGAGTGCTTGATAGTGATATACTGTGTGTGTGTGTGTGTGTGTGTATGTGTGTGTGTGTTTTGCAGGTGGCAGAGCAGCTGATGACTATAGCCTATGAAAACGGGGTCAACCTCTTTGACACTGCAGAGGTCTACTCAGCTGGGAAGTGAGTTTGGCCATTGACTTACAGCAAAATGAGTGGCTGAATTCATCCGGACACCTTTATTACTTTTTCATACCATCTAACTATTCTAAATATTGCATACTATATAGCCTATTTAATGGATATTATGGGAATTGGGATTCAGCACAAATAATAGTCCAGCCTGTAAACTTCATATCCAAACTTCCATCTTGCCAGCTGTTTTATCTAAACCTGTTAGAAGATGCAGAAGGGAATTCACTATGATTGAAATTCACCCACTGATAGCATTATTTCTGTACATATTGTCTGCATTAATGCTTTGATGCTTTCGCATCAAATTCACTAAAGGAATTATGTATTCAGGCTGTGACGCAAACTGCCACAAATTTAGTATTGAATGCAATTTACATGGGGCAGTTTTTGCAGGCCTGTTCTGAGTGCTAAGTAGTGCAGGATACAACAAACTATAGGAACAATATGTATCTGTACAGTGTCACTCCACCACTGTGATCAGGCACCTTCATTGGCTATACAGTATTTAAAATGCCAAAAGTCTGGATATGTGCCTGGTAGTAATGCTTTTGAGCATCATTTGATTAATTACTGTTGCCATAATCACTATAAAAGTACACTTACATTAATTTTGAATAAGCTTTAAATTTCCTACAGATTTCCGCGGACAGTAACCATAGCTCAGCGTTAACCGTGTCAGGCAAATAGCGCTGACGTTTGTGAAAGTTGCAAATTCTATAATGAAACTGCATACAAAGGAGGTGTGTTTGCCCTGAAAAGAATGACAGTAACTTTGTTTAAATCTGCATAGCACAGTGCTATAGTGGCTGTTTAGTGAATTCACTAAACAAAAATTGCCTTTTTTTCCATTAAAAAAACCCCTCTACAAATCCACAAAAAAAAATTCTATTTAAATATTATTACAAAGTGCTCAAAATGTGTCTTTCTTCACAGGGCTGAAATAATCCTAGGAAACATTATCAAGAAGAAGTGTTGGAGGTATTTATCTTAGTTTTCTATAAATGTATTTATTTAAGGGTGATCCCACTGATCAATTTCATTGAGAAATGTATAAAACATAATCACTTTACACATAATCCATAATCTGTCTGTGGGTGTACAGGAGATCCAGTCTGGTCATCACTACTAAACTGTACTGGGGAGGAAAGTAAGTATTAGTGGAGTAAATCCATCCATCCATCCATCTAGTCCGTCCGTCCGTTTACTCTATTCATTTTATTAGTAATAACTATACTCTTATTTTCTCCCTAAAATTTAGGCATTTGTCTTTCTTTCTTTCTTTCTTTCTTTCTTTCTTTCTTTCTTTCTTTCTTTCTTTCTTTCTTTCTTTCTTTCTTTCTTTCTTTCTTTCTTTCTTTCTCTCTCTAGGGCAGAGACAGAGCGTGGGCTCTCGAGGAAGCACATTATTGAAGGTATAGTCTTCTTTCTTCTAATCCTCCTGTTGTTTGTAATTGACCAGAACCTTTTTTCTTCTTTTATTTATCATTGCCTCCTCCTTTATTGATTTTTTTCTCCTTCGCTGCAGTGTGTGGCCTTGTTCCTAATAAAAGCTCAGCACCCACACCAACATTCATTCTTAAACAGTGTGAGATTCTCTCTCTCCCTCTCTCTCTCTCTCTCTCTCTCTCTCTCTCTCTCTCTCTCTCTCTCTCTCTCTCTCTCTCTCTCTCTCTCTCTCTCTCTCTCTCTCTCTCTAACTTGATAAATGCAGATTTGATTTAATACAGAGAGCACATGCAAACCAAGGTAATGATTTAAATACAGTATGTAGAAACCATTCACCTTCTACTTTTATTACACTGCCAAATATCATTTTCATAATCATATGATTGTCTTGTTTTTCAGTAAAATGTCTAAACTGTAATCTTTAAAACAAGATACATTTAAATGAGAATCAGAGTAAAACGTATTTATTTGTTTGTTTGTTTATGGTTTTCTTATCCACTTTGGCAAATTTTGCATCTCAAGTAAATTTATCTTGTTTTATATATTTTTATGTATTTCCTCAGGAAACAATCCCAAAGGCTGAATAAAACTTTTGAAAAGCTTGAAGAAAAATCTTTTTTTTTTATTTTTTTTTTATCACATACAGATTTAGCTGCAGTGTGTCACCTTTTAAAAACATTTTAAGGCTTTTCATTTATTTTGTAATTTAATTTTAATTTTACCATAGGCCTATTTATGCGGTATTCTCATAATCGACAGCATGTAATTATGTGAAGTGTTTGAGATCGTAAGCTTTATTTGAGTGCCTGATTATGAGTGGAAATCGACATAGAATAATATTCTGATTTATCTCTGCTCTATTACTGTATACTATGAGACGGAGGCGGACCACTGATTTTACGAGAGTTTAATATCTATAATGTCATTTCTGTATCACTTACTGATTGAGAAACCTCACTGTTTGTATTTCATGAAACTAATTGAATCATTCGCATACTTCGCTCATCCCCAGTTATTTTGATCACTCTGGCTTGTTTTCCTTCCTGGCTCGTCTCTCTCTCTCGTCCTCGTTAGCTCGTGTTTGTATGACATTGTTTGTGGGCTAAAAAGGAACGTCTGTTTATCCTTTAAAAAGCTCCCTGCTAAGAATATCTCATCCACAAACCCAGAAAATTGTGACTGATTATAGCCGTGGCGGATGCGAGGGCCCACTCGGTGAGCAAGGGGCAGATTCATGAGTCTGAGATTGGCTGGTATGTGCTTTTGTGATGAATGAGTGTGCGGTTTATCTGTCAGATTAATTTCAGTATGGCAGAGTAATCACGTCAGCGTCTGATCACCTGAAAGCTCTCTGACTTTGTTTCAACACACCTGGTGTTTGCTCTCTCTCTCTCTTTCTCTCTCAGCCAAGATTTATTGGCATGACTGTAAAGCATCACAGTTTTGCCAATGCTTTACTTTCACAGTTACTTACACATAGGTGTATAAAATAAGAAAATGTTATTTAAAAGAAAAGCTACACTCTAAAAAATGCTGGGTTGTTTCAACCCAAAGTTGGGTCAAATATGGACAAACCCAAATGTTGGGTTAAAAATGTACAGTTGAAAGTGAAAGTTGAAGTTGGGTTAAAACATTTTTAACCCAACATTTGGGTTTGTCCATATTTGACCCAATTTTGGGTTGAAACAACCCAGCATTTTTTAGAGTGTAAAATGGAACGAAGCATAAATGTGTTCGGAGGTGGAGTGACCCCAATAAGTATTTGGACACTTAAACAGCACTCAAAAAAGCTTGAATGTCATTGCATTAAATGTCAAATCAAGTTGCATTTATTTAAAGAAAAACAAGTCAAGAACACTTTTCATGCAAAACATTTCACAAAACAGATGTTTGTGAGGTTCTAAATGGAAAAGCAAGAGATATAAGATATGTTTCTTTTTTAAGAAATTAATTAAATTATCAAAAGTGACATAAGGACATTTATAATGTTACAAAAGATTTCTACCTCAAATAAATACTGTTCCTTTTGACTCTATATTCATTAAAGAATCCAAAGAGAAAAAAATCTCGGTAGAATATTTTTAGCAAAAATGTAATGATGCTGAAAAATAATAAATAGCATTTTAATATAATATATACATTAGAAAATAAAACGGTTATTTTAAATTGTAATACTATTTCATAATATTGCTTTTTTTTCTGAGTTTATCAAATAAATGCAGCCTATGTACCGGTAAGCATAAGAGACTTCTGTCAAAAACATAGAGAAATCTTACTGACCCCAAACCTTTGGTAATGGTAATGTACTTAATTGTCTATAGTGTTGTGTGACATTAATTTTTAAGTGTGCCCGATGTGTCTTTTTGGGGGCCACTGGTCTATAAATAGGAATGAAACGATATATTTCGGTCGATATGATTGACTTATGATAATTATTTTTGTGTTCCTGAATTTTATACCAATAAATATGCAATATTTTTATGACTGATAACTAATATAATGCCCAATATTATACATCTGTTAGGGTTGTGTTCAAAACAGGGTTCAAAGTAACAGTAGCTCCTTTAATCTTGACAAGCTTCCAAGTTTGAAATAAGCCCTGCTATTATTTACTTCAGGTATCACCCTTATCAGAATAATCTCGATCATTTTAAACCTAATATTGGACGATACCAAAATGGTCACTGATCTAACCCTAGTCTATAAATATACAGAAACAAACATATTACTGACAGTGCATTATAAATGTGGTCCATAAAACTCAGGCATTATCCTGAGTAAGTGTTCTGAAGCTATACAATAGTTTTGTGTGAGGGAGAGATCAAAATGTAAGTAATTTTTTGATGAATGTCTTTCCAGTCGAACACTGAACGTTCCCCAGACCACCGTATAGCGGTTTTGGGTGCAGTTTGCTTTCACAAATCAAACTCTCACTTCAACAAAGCATTCAAATTCTCTTACGCGTTCTCTCTCTCTTTCTCTCTCTAGGTCTGAGGGGTTCTTTGCAGAGGTTACAGCTGGAATATGTGGATGTGGTTTTCGCCAATCGCCCTGACAGCAACACACCTATGGAGGGTAAGTGAGGCTTGGGACTCCAAGTCCCTACACAGATGCTTCTAGTTTTGCTAGCTCACTTTTGTGCATCATTACATTCTGAATATGTTAGAGGCAATTCATAAAGCAATGTATTTGGCATTGTCGCAAGAGCAGCTAGTGGGCATTAGCGTAAACTGTCGGCAGGTTTTCTCTTTACTGTCATGGTGGAGTAACAGTTTGAAAAGTCTTGCTGAGCAAGTTAGTTAAAGTTGATTTTTTAAAATAATATATAGTTATCTGAATAAAAACAAGACCAGTGTAATTGCATAGACTTTTGAAGATAACTCTAGCGCCACCTTGAGGTTTTGCTAGAACACTGTTTTAAGGTGCAGTAAGCACATTTCTGAGAAACACTATTGATATTTATAATCAACCCAAACAAACACACCCCTCGCTTCATTGATCCGCCCTCAAAATGCACGTGGATGTCTCTTTACCATGGCTGAAGCGAAGCAAAATAATGCTTCGTGAAAAATAAAGCGAAGATGAAGAACAAACGACAAGGAAAAACAAAAAAAATAACTTACAGTACACTAGAGTATACAAGCAAGAGTCGGTTGTTAGTCGCCAACAGCACAGCATTTGCAAATAAACAATGACACTCAAAACTGTCCGGTTACTATTACATTACAACATTAACATTACAACAACAGCATATCTTGCTTCTGTGAAATAGCAATACCAATGTTACTCACGTATGGAGCAGAAACAGCGCAACCTTGCCGTCTGATTTCAGGCCTTCCCGCTTCGGTCTCTCCAGCGATGGCAAGCTTTTCTAAAACGAATGCGGGTCATAAAGCTCTTGCCTGATCATAACCCTTCTTTTTCCAGTGATATTCCTCTTATCTTTTCTCTTTTGTGATGTCTCTCAGCCTTCTCTCTTTCTCGCTTACTCTCTCTCCTCCACCATCACGAGAGGACACGCCCCTTACTGCTGATTGGCTACAAGTGTGTTGTAATGCTCAGTCCGATCCAAAGCGTTTCTCAGAAATCGCTTACTGCACCTTTAAGTGCACACTACCATTCAATAGTTTGGAGTCAGAAAAGAAGTCTCCATTCTCACCAAGGCTACATTTATTTAATCAAAAATACAGTAAAAACAGTAGGCCAATATTGTGAAATATTATAAGAATTGTTTTCTATGTATTTTATTCCTGTGATGGCAAAGCTGAATTTTCAGCAGCATTACATTTTCTTTCGTTCTTGGTGTGAACCGGCCTTTACTTTGTGTGTGTGTGTGTGTGTGTGTGTGTGTGTGTGTGTGTGTGTGTGTGCTTGTTTATATGATTTATGAGGACACAAATTTGTATAACAACATAATAATGTAATAGCATATTACACTGGTATTACAGTGTAAATGTGGTTTATGAGGACATTTCCTGAGTCCTCATAATTAAAATAGCTTAAAAATAACATACTAAACAACATTTTACTAAAAATGTAAAAATACAGAAAGTTTTCTGTGATGGGTAGGCTTAGAGTAAGGAAATAGAAAATACAGTTTGTACAGTATAAAAACCATTACGCCCATGGAATGTCCTCATAATGATAGGTGCACCAAGTGTGTGTGTATAAAACAGGATGTTTGCTATTTCCATACATTTTTTTATTTATTTATTTTTTTTCATTTTTTTTTTCCATGCTGTTATCATAATCCCAATCTAACCAATCTCTCACTCTCTTTCAATTTCTGTGGCACTGCAGTGCTTAGGAAGTCTGCTTCTTACACACTCTCTCCGTCATCAAGTCTGTCTTTCTCTCTTTGACTCTCTCTCTCTCTCTCTCTCTCTCTCTCTCTCTCTAGGGGGATTTTGAGTTGCCCATGGGGTAGATAGTGTATTTTTAAGCTGCTCTTTGCCTACTGTGTCCCCAAACTCTAAACTTTTCTTCTCACATTACACATACATGCACATACTCATGTTTACTTGCAATCTAATGAGAACATATCTCTTTGAATTGCTTTTATGTGAGGCTTTTTACATTTCTAGAAATAAAAAACATTATTTTATTTTAATTTATTAAGTCAGATTTAGCTAACTTCTGTAGACAAATTTGTTAGTAAACCAACTGATTTCTGCCATTTGACTGCTTTAGGATTTTTGTCTGCTTGAGCGAGTCTTATCAACCCGTAAACACATTTTACATCAGGGTTACAAGCCAGAAAGCACTGCATAGACTTCCTACAGTGTGAGGATAATCTCAAGAGGACTCTATATCAGAGCTTTAGAGGCACTGCTGCACTTTGCGGTGAGGAAAAGAGGAAGATCTATCAAAGTAAAACGTTTAATCATCATTCTACCATCAAGACTGGAATGCTTTTAATCCAAATTGATGTGCAGTCTGTTCTTGGCACATGCAGTTGAATACTCGTGGGAAGAAAATAGGGTATTTTAATAAAAGAACATTTTGGAGCTGAACTGAGAACACATTTTACTACCCGTGGTCTCCCTGGAGAGTTGTTTAAGTGTTTGCCACATGTTGTTACTAAGCTTTGTGAGAAAGATCATCAATGTGATGCTAGAGCAGATATATTGGTATTCTGTACGTATATGGGCTTCAATGAATGTTAAAACACACACACATACATACATATATACACTCACCTAAAGGATTATTAGGAACACCATACTCAGTGGCGGTTCTAGCCCATTTCAACTGGGGGGGCCAAGCTGGGGCCAGTTGTACTGTTAGAGGGGCCAGTTACATTTAGACCTTATTGTTGTCATATCATTTTCTGCACTGCTGCAGGCATTAACAGGCAAAATACCGTGTTTATAATCATTCAACAATGTATTTGCATTTCCATTATATTTTTACATTTGCATTACATATTCAGTATTAGTCACAGTAACTGTAATAGACATGATGTCCTTCTTTCTCTTCATTTTGAGAACTATAGAGCAAAAGCAATGGGGACCAAGAAGCTTATTAATTCATTTACTGAAAATAACTGACTTGATATGTCTAACCGTTTACAGGGTTCCTGCACACTTTTTAAAGTCAAATTTAAGGCTTTTTAAGACCTAAAGAAATCAAAATTAATACCGTACATTAGGGGTGTGCAATATTGACAAAAATATATTTCAATATTTTCAACATTTTGTTAATAATTAGATAATATTTTACTGATTGTGTTTTTGTGCTGGTGCCATGGCTGGTTTAGGCCTGTTGTTGACAGCTGACTCACGAAGATATTAATATTTTTCATATTCTATGCAGTGGTCAGTTCACAGCAGTGACAGAAATACATTTTTTAATTAAGAGGCAATATTTGCCACCTTAAATTGATTTCCAGGCCAGGGGCATTTTCACCTATATATGGACATTTTTTCTAAACTTATTTAGAGTTATGCATCACCTTTTTGCATCACCACTAACATTCAAATTATACAGTAATTATACTTATTTATACAACAATACTTAATTATGCAATAATTATACAGTACCACTGTTACCAGTCAAATTAATTAATTCAATCAAAATCCATCTTTGCAGTGCAGAGGTGACACAGAAGAGGCATTAATATATTTACACTCCATTTACAATTGCATAAATAAAGCTATGAGATTTTTTTTAAATCAATATTTAAAAATGCAATTATTTCTAATTTTACCGTTTTAATTAAAGGATACTTTAAATATGAAACTAAAACCGCCAGTAGGCGGCGGCAAGTCCCTGTAAGAGGGATTCATTCATTCAAACGATTTGTTCAAACGGCTGATTTATTCGGGAAAGAAGCAAGTGATTCGTTCAAAACGCGGATTTCAGTCAATAAATCATTGCTGTGTTGCATTGAGACTCACTACGGTTTCATTATGAAATTCTAGTCGGCGAAATAAAGGGAAAACAAACAATATTGACAATATTGTGTCTAAAAAGTAACTCCCAATGTTAACTTATTGTTAATTTAACTGTTGTATAACATAAATATCACAGTTGCAATTGTGCACGGGAAAACGGCACTCTTGCTGATGCGATATTCTAATATAAGAACATAATATGATATAAATATAAGACAAAAATAATTTGGGGACATGGGCTATAGCATGAACTGCACACAGCAGTGAAAGGACGATAGACAAATGCTATGTCAGCTCACAGTGCCTCGTACATAGTTAAAACAATGATTACAATATCATAATAGACAATACACATCGCACACCCCATACGCACATAATGAATGAACTTACAACTGAACTGACATTTACCAACTTTCTTCTTCTCTCCTCTCTCGCGTGCAGGAGACAGGCGTTATTCTGCCGCGATTCCCGCGAATGTGATGCGAATTGTCACGTGAAAATGCAAATCCACAAAGATAGAAAAATAAAAAATAATACGCATACGATAGCAAAAAAACAGTTTTGTAAAAATTATTTCAAACTCCACATTTAGGGGGGCCACAAGGGGGGCCAAGCTTTTTGTCACAGGGGCACTGGCCCCCCCTGGCCTCCCTCTAGAACCGCCACTGACCATACTAATACTGTGTTTGACCCCCTTTCGCCTTCAGAACTGCCTTAATTCTACGTGGCATTGATTCAACAAGGTGCTGAACGCATTTTTTAGAAATGTTGGCCCATATTGATAGGATAGCATCTTGCAGTTGATGGAGATTTGTGGGATGCACATCCAAGGCACGAAGCTCCTGTTCCACCACATCCCAAAGATGCTCTATTGGGTTGAGATCTGGTGACTGTGGGGGCCATTTTAGTAAAGTGAACTCATTGTCATATTCAAGAAACCAATTTGAAATAATTCGAGCTTTGTGACATGGTGCATTATCCTGCTGGAAGTAGCCATCAGAGGATGGGTACATGGTGGCCATTTAGGGATGGACATGGTCAGAAACAATGCTCGAAACAATGGTAGGCCGTGGCATTTAAACGATGCCCAATTGGCACTAAGGGGCCTAAAGTGTACCAAGAAAACATCCCCCACACCATTACACCACCACCACCAGCCTGCACAGTGGTAACAAGGCA